TTGCTACATTGCCCAGGCTGGTCTCAAACTCCTGGGCTCAAGCAGTCCTCCCACCTTGGCCTCCCAAAGTGCTGGGAATACAGGCATGAACCACCCTGCCCAGCTTTACATTTTTTTTTTTAAACAATAAAAACGTTAGCCACTAGGCTGTTTCCAGGTAAGTTTCCTGGTAGAGTGTAAGTGCCCAGCACCATAATATGTCCTTGGAATCCATCAAGGTTCCAAGCCACCGAACTGTGAGCACAACTAACAAAGATCCCTTGCCATACCCAAGCCCATGAGAGCTAGCCAAAAGTCCTTATAACAGACCACAGACATCTGAAGGCCTCTACAGAAACATCTCAATGTGACACAGTTCCTTCTGTGAGAGGCTCTGAAACAAATCTGCATTGTGACAGTCCAGCCAGCACAGCGTGGGTGCTGCAACCCATCACATCCGCCAAGAGAGACAGAACCTGGAGCAGCAACAAAACACGGAGAGCTATGATCCTGTAAATAATTATTATGAAAAAGGTGTCCCAGGGAAGAAGGGTCTTAAAATAGAAGGGCCCAGACTTAGCTCAGAGGAGAGCAGAGAGTGGGAAGGGGAGGAGCCAGCCATTGGTACCAGACAGTAATGTCCGTACTGGAATCTAATAGAAGTCTTTATGGTCCCTGACAGAGACTGGTGGGTCATTCTCCAAATCCATTTCCCTTTTCTTCTAAGCACAATCTGATACTTCCCATCTTCCCTTGCAGCGATGTGTGGTCATGTGACCAAGTTCTGGCCAAAAGGATATGAACGGAACAGGTATGAGCCACACCCCTTCCAACCTCATAAACGTTCCCAAGTATCACCTTCTATGCTCATTTCTCTTTCCTGGTTTGATACAGACAAGCATGCAGTTACTGGATGCTGTGGGCTGACAATGAAGAGCCACAATATGGCAAGGGCCAGGGTCCCTCAGTCATTGGAGGAGATCAGCCTGCCAACTAGGAACAATTATTTTGGACTTTTTTTTTTTGGACTTTTTTTTTTTTGAGATGGGGTCTTGCTCCCAGCACTTTGGGAGGCCAAGGTGGGAGGACTACTTGAGCCCAGAAGCTCTTGCCCAGGCTGGAGTTCAGTGGTATTATCATAGCTCACTGTACCCTCCAACTCCTGGGCTCAAGCAATTCTCCCAGGTATGTACCACCATGCCTAGCTAATTTTTATTTTATGTTTTAGGGATGGGAGCCTGTGTTGCCCAGGCTGGTCCTGAACTCCTGGGCTCAAGTGATCCTCCCACCTCAGCCTCCTAAAGTGCTGAGATTTTAGACATGCACCACCAAACCCAGCTCAGTTTTTAATTTTCTATGAGTGAGAAATAAACTTCTGCTGTGTTTAAGTCATTTCCTAGCTTTTAATCTTTTGTTATACCAGCAAGTGCTACCTCATACAGGGTGCTTAGAGGAAAGTGTATACACATTTCAACCATGGTTCATCATATGTGGATCTGAAAACTCCTTGAAGACAGTGACTGTACCTTATTTAGCTTGGTTTTCTCCTTCGTCATAACCACAATCCCTTGTACCCAGACATTTTCAAAAAACATTCACCAACTTGAAATAAAGGCAAGATATCCTCAAGCAAAGAAAGAGACCCATGCATGTACAACATTTAAGACCTTGAGTTCTGGAACACATAATCTCCTGTTCATATCCCAATTCCATCACTTACTTGCTGGGTGGCCTTAAGCAAGTTACACTCTGAGTTTCCAATTCCACAGTGGTCAGATGGGAATATTAATATTTCCTAATTCATTGGGTTGTTGCAGGGATTAAATTAGAGACTGCCCATAAAGCACTCTGGAAGCAGCCAACTATAATGAGCTATTATTTTAATTGTAACAGAAAGCATCTGCTGTAATACACAGCTGAAATATGGATGTGGGGGGTTGGCAGAAAGGAATCAGGTGCATAATGAGGGGAGGGAGAACACAAGGGCTCAGCCTTCTCGAGCCTGGCCTGGACCACACCAACCAAAAGCCTCATAATCCTTCAGCTAGTTAAATCTCAAGAGTACGGCATGCGCCACTTACCCTGTTAGCACCACCACAAAGTCCATGACGTTCCAGCCATTCCTCAAGTAGGAGCCTTTGTGGAAGGCAAACCCAAGGGCAATGATTTTAATTCCAGCCTCGAAACAAAAAATCCCAATGAAGTATGGTTCTGTATCATCCTGGAAGGGAGAGAAGGCAAGGTCAGCATCTTGGGCTGGGCAGATGTTGGCAAGACCAGGGAACCAGCCCACCTAGAAATCAGTACCCAGCACCCTCTTGCTTCCGCTGACCCTCCTCCACTCACCACCCCTCACTGCCTTTTGTAGAGTTCTCTTGTCCAAACCATTTTGGAAGCAAAGCTAACGCTCAGAGAAGACATCTTCCTCCTTCATTCCTTTTGGGCCAACCTCACATGCCACTTTACCAAGTAGAATCATTTGCTTGCACCTGCCTTAGTCAATATGACAGCTACAGGTCACATGTGGCTATTTCAATTAAAATTAATTTAAATGCAATAAAATAAAAAAAATGCAGTTCTGCAGTCACACTGGCTACATTTCAAGTGGCAATCATATTGGACAGGGTAGACGGAGAACATTTCTGTGACTGCAGAAAGTTCCAATGGAAGCATTGGTTTAGAGGATTTATTTGTCACATGCAGCATTCAAGGATTTGAGGGTGGAGATTTTGCATTGACCCCACTGCTAAATCTGACCCCTTAGGATGGTTCTCAGCTAGTATATACCAACAGCCATTCAGACTGTTACAGGGTTGGAACAGGACTTCTGTACTGGCTGGTAAGTGGCCGATATCTTCACCATCTCACCGTCAGTTCTTCTGCAGAACCTCCAGCTGGTTCTGGCTTCCAGCTGATAACGTATCATATTTGAAATTAAGCTATAAGCTCTGCTCCATCAGAGCCCCTATGTGGACGTTTTCCCATCTGTTACGGCAATGTTTCTCGAGCTTCAATCATTTCATTCTGCCTAAATGATTTTTTTCCACATCAGCTTGCCACTGGTATTTCTATTAGCTTACCAGTCTTTCAATGGACTCTTTTTATTTAGCCTTATTTTAAATGAAAACAAAAAAGTCTAAAATCATAGGTTTGCTAGGCTAGTTACAGTTTTTAGAAGACTGTGACACTGCGGAATATGTGTTTGGTCTTTGACACTGTTTCCTGACGTATAGCTCCTACAGTCCTGGGGATCTCCAAAGGGATGACTTTTTGTAGGTAACGATTGACCTGTGGCTGGCAGCTTCTAGGTAGTGTCAGGATGGGGGCTGGCCATGGGGAAAACCCAGGCATGATTAGAGGGTTGGGATTTTCAGTCCCACCCTGCAACCTCTGGGAGAGAGATGGGCTGAAAGTCAAGTTGATTACCAATGGTTAATGATTTAATCAATCATGCTTATGTAATGAGGCCTCCATAAAACCCCAAAAAGGCCAGGATTCAGAGGGCTTCTGGATAGCTGAACATATGGAGGTTCCTTGAGGGTGGTGCACCTGGGGGAGGGCATGGAAAAATCCTTTTGGGGTTTCTTCCTCCCCCTCTCCCCCTTTTTAAAAAAAGATATTGCCAAAATAATCATGGAAATTTGAAAACCGACTGGGTCTTAGATGACTCTGAGGAACCACAGCTCATCGTGCTGGGTGTGATAACATCACTGTGTCTACGTAAGAAAAAAAAATTCATGTTTTTTATTTTTTTAAGATGGCTTGCTCATTGCCCAGGCTGGAGTGCAGTGGCATGATCACAGCTCACTACAGCCTCCACCTCCTGGTTTCAAGTGATTCTCCTGCCTCAGCCTCCCAAGTAGCTGGGATTACAGGTGCTCACCACTACGCCCGGCTAATTTTTGTATTTTTAGTAGAGACGGGGTTTTACCATATCGGCGAGGCTGACCTCGAACACCTAACCTCGAATGATCTGTCTGCCTCAGCCTCCCAAAGTGCTGGGATTACAGGTTTGAGCCACCGCGCCCTGCCAGAAAACATCCATGTTTTTAGTGACACAGACTTAAGTATGCGTGGTGAATTGATGTGCCTGAAAACACTTCTACCAAAAAAAGGCAAGGAAAGGAAAAGGACAGAAGAAGCTGAATCTGGGGGACGGGTTCATGGGGGCACTCACTGTACTGTGTTATCACTCTTTTGGGGTGTAGTCAACATTTTTCAAGGGAATCTTGTTTGGAATAGGATTTTTTCAGGGACCATGTGACCACCTGTCACCTGTGTCTCTCCCTGCTGACACCAGATCTGCTGGGTGGTGACGGAGTGGGGCAGGCAGGGAGGGTGTTTTCCCTGCCCTCTATCATTGGTGGTCATGACATTGACTGCACACAGCAGCTGATGCCTGTAATCCCAACACTTTGGGAGGCTGAGGTGGGAGGATGGCTTGAGCCCAGGAGTTTGAGACCAGCCTAAGGAACCTAGTGAGACCCCCATCACTACAGAAAAGATAAAAATAAGAAAATCAGCTGGGCGTGGTAGTGTCTGTAGTCCCCGCTACTCAGGAGGCTGTGGTGGGAGGATGGCTTGAGCCCAGGAGGTGGAGGCTGCAGTGAGCTACAATCAAGCCACAGCACTCCAGCCTGGGTGGCAGAGAGAGACTCTGTTTTGAGAAAAAATAAAAAAGAAATTTAGGCTTCCCATGACCTGGCTCTGGGCTCCAGGACTGAGAGCCTCCTCTGTGCCCTGCTCTACCCCCCCCAAACATCAATGGCCTGCTAGAGCTAAGGAGAAGCCCCCAAGACAAGACATCACTCACCAGCCGTTCAGACATCGGAGTCTTGTCGTCATCAGGCAGATGCTGCTCCAGTGCGAGAACGATGCAATTCGCTATGATGGTGGCTAAAATCATGTATTCAAAGGGAGTATCAAGGAATTAAGGAATAACCTTGTTTGAAGAAAAAAAGGGTGTGTGGAGGTGCTCCCACCCCCCACTGACCCCAGTGGAAACATCTTAAGCCCTCCAGATCCTCCCAACCCACATGAGCACAGGCGGAATTATTCAGTTCTCCTGTCCGGAGTAAATCCCTTCAGATCTCAAACCCAGAGCAGGTGACATCTAAAAGGAACTGTGGTTATATTCTGCTTCTATCTCACCTGCAATATTCATTGTACACATATTTACTCAGTACCTGCTGTGTGCCGGACTCTCATCTGGGCTAGGACACAGCTGACAGCAAAGCAGACAAGAGAAGCTTCCTCCTGCTTCCTCCAGGAGACGCAAATAAATAACTACATCATGTATACTACGTGATGTATGTATCATGTTATACCTGCATATGCCATGTTACATAGTTCATCACATATTCTATGTATGTAGGGAGATGGTGACGGGTACAGACAGTGGAAGGGGTCAGGGCTGCAATTTAAAAGATGGTGGCAGAGCACGGCATGATGGCAGATACCTGTGGTCCCAGCTACTTGGGAGGCTGAGGTGAGAGAATTGCTTGAGCTGAGGAGGTCAAGCCTGCAGTGGGCAATGACTGTACCACTATATTCTAGCCTGGGTGACAGAAGGAGGTCCTGTCTCAATCAATCAAGCAATCAATGATAAATTAAAAATAAATAAATAGAGGCCAAGACAGGTGGATCGCTTGAGGTCAGGACTTCGAGACCAGCCTGGGCAACATGGTAAAACCCTGTCTCTAAGAAAAATACAAAAATTAGCCCAGCATAGCGGTGCACACTTGTAGTCCCAGCTACTTGGGAGGCTGAGGCAGGAAAACCCCTTGAACCTGGGAGATGGAGGTTGCAGTGAGCTGAGATCACACCACTGCACTCCAGCCTGAGCAACACAGTGAGACTCCATCTCAAAAATAATTAAAATAATAAATAAAACACTGTGACCAGATTTGACACCTAATGCATGAGCCACAGGAAAAAACAGATACACTGGGCTTCATCAACATTTAAACCTTTCGTGCCTCAAAGAACATTATCAAGAAAGTTAACAGACAAGTAACAGAAGGGGAGCAGCTCTTTGCAAATCATGTATCTGATAAGGGTCTACTACCGGGAATATATAAAGAACATGTACAACACAACAACAGAAACATCACCCAATTGAAAGTGGTGAATAGACATTTCTCCAAAGAAGATAGTCAAATGGCCTGTAAGTAGATGAGTGTATCAGTGATCAGGGAAATGCAAATAAAACTCCAATGGGATACTGCTTCACACCCACTAGGATGGCTAGAATTTAAAACAACAAACAAACAAGCGTTGGTGAAGATGTGAAGAAACTGCAACTCTCATGCTGGGGGGAATATAAAAGCGTGTAGCTGGCCAGGGGCAGTGGCTCATGCCTGTAATCTCAGCATTTTGGAAGGCCAAGGTAGGAGGGTTACTTGAGCCCAGGAGTCCAAGACCAGCCTAGGCAACAAAGTGAGACTCTGTCTCTACAAAAATTACAAAAAATTAGCTGGGCACGGTGGTGCAGGCCTGTAGTGCCAGCTACTTGGGAGGCTGAGGTGAGAGGACTGCTTGAGCCCCAGGAGGCTGAGGCTGCAGTGAGCCATGACCGCACCACTGCACTCCAGCCTGGGCAACGGGAGTGAGACCTTGTCTCAAAACACGACCACCACCACCAGCAACAACAAAACACTGGGGTAACTGCTGCAGAAAACTGTTTGTTGGTTTCTAAAAAGTGAAGCACAGAATTACCATGTGACACAGTAACTCCATTCCAGAGTATAAACACAAAAGGATTGTAAGACAGGTACTCCAGCCAACAGAAATGTTCACAGCAGCACTAGTCACAACAGCTGAAAGGTGAAACAACTTCAATTTCATCAATGGATAAACAATACGTGGTTTACCTACAGAATGGAATAGTATTCAGCCATAAAAAGGAATGAAGTACTGATACATGTTACAACAGGAATGAGCCTTGGAACATTATGCCAAGTGAAAGGAGCTAGACATAAAAGACCATGTATTGTATAATTCCACGTATGTAAAATGTCTGGAACAGGCAAATCCAGAGACAGACAGCAGATTCGTGGTTCCTGGGGAATAGGAAGGGAAATGGGAATTACTGCTTAATGTTTTAGAACTAGATAAAGGTGACAGTTACACAACAATGTGAATGTACTAAATACCTGTCTTTCTTTTCATTCTTTTTTAAAAGAAACAGGATCTTGCTCTGTCACCCAGGCTGGAGTACAGCAGCATGATCATAGCTCACTGCAGCCTTGAATTCTGAGGCTCATACGATCCTCCTGCCTCAGCCTCCTTAGTGGCTGGGACTACAGGTGCACACCACCATGTGTGCCTATTTTTTTTTTTTTAAGAGATAGAGTCTTACTTTGATGCCCAGGTTGGTCTTGAACTCCTGGGCTCAAGTGATCTTCCTGCCTCAGCCTCCCAAAGTGCTGGGATTGCAGCCATGAGCCACTGTGCCCAGCCCTAAATGCCATTTTAAAATGGTTGTGTTATATGAATTTTACCTCAATAAAAAAAAAAATACAGCGGTCAGAGCAGACCTCTGAGAATCTGCCCTTTCAAGTCAGGGGCAGGGTCGTCCATGTGCTTATCTCTAGACACTCCATTTGCACTCTCTCCAGTCTGCCCAGGCAACCTCCTCCCTGCATCCTGGGAACTCTCATCTGGGTTGAGGAGGCCTCCGGCCCTCGTGTCCACCGGAGGATCTGCAGGGCAGGTGGGGAGGATCTATCTTATTTATTTCATATTAGCTCCCGGACTGCTGATCAGCTAGTGAATGGGAAAGTCCCCTGTCCCCCTGCCAGGCTCCTCAGAAGTGTCCCACGCCAACGGGCTCTGTATACGGATCTGGCAATCTCTGAGAAGGACGTGTAGACACTGGAGAAGCGGCTGCTTGAGTGAAAAGGCCACAGGGTGTTGGTTACCCCAGAGCAACCTCGGCACTAGGTTTGGGGCTGAATCATTCTCCTTGGTGGGGCTGTCTGGGCACTGTAGCACATTCAACAGTATCCCCAGCCTCTGCGTGTTAGATGCCAGTAGCATCCCCTCCTGTCCAGTGATGACAACCTCAAGTGGTCTCTAAACCCTGCTGAGTGTCCCCTGGGGGCACTGAAATTCCGTGTTCTGTAGAGATATCAATCAGTGTGTCTTGAGCAACTTGACCATGTTAAACCTCTCCCCTCCTCCTAGCTCTATCCTTTGGAAAATTAACTGCTTTCAGTCTCCCCTTCTGCCTTGGAGTTAGGTTTGGTATTTTGGAGGTGCCATAGAGCCATCCCTTCCAGGCTAGAGGGAGAGCGAAACCCACTTTCCAGCTGGGAAAACAGAGTCTAAAACAGAAACCTCCTCAGTAAAAGTCTCGGAAAGGCAGGAAAACCAGGCTTCCTTTTGTCACCAGCTTCAGCCTTTGCCTCCAGCTGAAAGCAGCTGAAGGCAAGCTCCAAGCACAGTCTGAAAAGCAAAATCTGAGACTCAGGGCAATTTGGAGAGCCAACAAAAGCCGGCCTTGCTGACGATATTCTCTGATTGGCTTTCTGCCTCCGAGCTGACAGGCATTAGGAGCCCAGAGAACAAAGCTGGGCTGTGTTGCACAAATACTCCACTCTGCCTCACCCTGCAGCCCGGAAAATAAGAGACAATATTTGTACACAGAGCAGAAATGCCAAGCCCTTCCCCGGTCTCCTCTCGCTGTGATTTGAAGCTGACTTCGCTTCCTCTCCCTGCCAAGTCAGCCTCCTTACATGCGCTTCTTCCATCCCACTCCTCCGGTCCCCTGGCCTCCTGCCCCTCAATGGCAGGGATGTGACTTCCTTTGCATCAGCTCTGGCACTGAAGGTTCCAGGAAGAGTCCCAGAAGGCCAGCATGCAGCACGCAGCACTTCTATGGGCTGCATTATCAGGGTTTCAATTGGCCAGTATCACCTGGATTTCAGACCCAGGGCCCTCTCGGTGTAACAATGAAGCCTTATCATGTAGGCAAAAAGAAAGAGGTTCTTCTCTCCCAACCTGCTTCATTTTACTTCTTGTCAAATACAGATACTCACACTGCTTCTCCAACATCATTCCCTTCTCCCTCTGTGCACCCACACCCCGGCAAATGTCCACAGACATGCCCCAAATGGAAATCTGCAGCAATGACCTTAGACCCTTGCTACTCAAAGCGTGGTCCCAGAACCAGCACCTGTTCTGTTAGGAAGGCAGCCTCAGGCCCTGCTTCCACCTGCTGAGTCAGAATCTGCATTTTAAAAGATCGCCAGGGGATCTGTGTGCGCAGGGAAGTTTTGGAAGTGCTAAGTGCCTCTATTTCAGGGATAGGAGGAGGAGCTCAGGTAATTACGGTTTTGAGTCATCCAGAAAGAGGTGGGGGTTCCTCTTTCTCCTCCAAGCTTTCTCCTCCAAGTTCTGACCCCAGGAGGAGAATTTAAGAGCCCTGGGTACCAGCTTTCTGCTCCCACTTGGGTAAAGAGCCTGAGAAGAAACCCAAGATTTTGAGGAAGTAAGAGCAATGCTGGAATGAGACAAAAGCAGAGAAGAAAATGTCAGCTAAATGCATGTGGAAGTATTCAAAGCCTTCCCATGGATCCCATTGCACTCAAAAGCAAAAACAAAGTCCTCCTAGCACTAGCAAGGTGCATGGCCTGCTTCCGTTACTTCCCTCCTCTCATCTCCCCTTTAGTCACTCAGCTCCAGCCACACCAGCCTCTTGTTTATTCCCCAAATTCCCCAGGCACACTTCTACCCCAGGGCCTTTACACCTGCTGTTCACTCTCCTGGAATACTCTTTCCCCAGACATCCACATGAGTTCCTCCTTCACTTCCTTTAGGCCTTTCCTCAAAGGTCACATCCATCAGCTCCCTTGGCCTATTTATTTTGTTTTCCTTTCTTTAGTTCCGATCCCCAGTCAAGCATCTGCTATTTTTTCTTTCTTTATCTTGTTCCCTGTCTCTTCCACGAGACTGCACACTCTGCGTACGTGGGATTTTGTGTCTACCTTGTTCATTGCTTCATGCTCTGTGCCCAGGAGAGCATTCATTATATAGTTGATGCTAAAAAAAAAAAAAAAAAAAAAAAAAAAAAACCCACCACCACCACCAACAAAACACTAGTGGAAGGGCCTGGCGCGGTGGCTCACGCCTGTAATGTCAGCACTTTGGGAGGCCGAGGTGGGTGGATCACCTGAGGCCAGGAGTTCAAGACCAGCCTGGCCAACATGGCGAAATCCCATCTCTACTAAAAATACAAAAATTAGCTGGGTGTGGTGGCAG